AAAAAAAAAAGAAGAAAAGAAAAAAAACTAGAAAATTGAATTAAAAGGAGAATGTAAATTCGATGAATCATCCGGTCTTAAATCGGTGCAGAGAATTGCAGAGAATTAAGTAGAAGCCAGCGATATGCCGCAAAACTATGCAACAGTTGGCCAATCGGTGTGATCAGCCTCGATCTGCAATCGGTCAGGGTTTCACTTGCACGAGTTAGTAACGATCCGCGAAACGACATGTCAAACAGATTTCCTTCGACGGAAAACCGGTTTACCAAGATGGATTCAGTGTAATTGCTATCAGGCCTTTGATTGCCCGCCGCCACTTATCACTCCTCGAGGATTGCCTGCGTCAGTGACACCGTTCGTGCAACGAGATACGTTTTAGCGTGAATCGTAAAAAACAATTTGTTTTTTTCCTTTTTACGTTACTCGAGAAAGATTATTTAACGCTGGATGTATCCCATATTCTTTTGAAATAAGCTTCTCTTCGTAAGCAGATACATCGAGAGCAATCGTTAAGTAACAGTCAATCATTTATGTAAATTCGCCTATATAAATTCTTCTTTTTTTTTTTTTTTTTTTCAAAGCTAATCAAGAAAATAAGAGAAACTCGTGATGATCATTTTATTTCGGACGTGAATATTTTCGCACGTTACACGTGCTCTGTATATCTTTGCATAATTAATTTCTGCATGTTTACGCATAATGTATTATATAATTAAAGCACGTGATATATGATTTATTGATGTTGAAACCTGCGGATAATTACACGTTCGAACGTTCGGCAGTTTTCAGACCAATTCGTTCGTAACTTTTCACGAGATTCGCCGAATTTTATACTTATGTACAATTCTTCGGAAACAGCTCGCATGAACAGCAGCGGCCGAATGTAGAAACCAAGTCACGCGTTCCGTACGTAATATTTATGTTTGCTCGATTGAAAAACTGTGTACAAGAGGGGCCACAGTGTACTTATCTACAATATACGTTGAAGTTACGTCACACATGCACGAAACACGATCCCAAAGTACCGATTCAGGTTGGTCCGAGTGTCAACGAAGGTGCACGAGCGACGCACGTTTCCTCCGAAAGGGAAAGATCCGATCGTGAATTCCAAGAAACAACTTCCGGACTCTATAAAACACTTTGCGATCCCATTACGAAGCTAGTCGCTCAGAGAACGACCACCAAAGGCGACGCGAACACCATGTTCCAGTTAGTAGAATCGCGCGCAAACACTCAGGTGTCGCAAAGGAACTCCTCTGGCGAGCTCATCATCCCCTGAATCGCCCTCTTCCTCGCTCTCCTCGCCGGCTGAAACTGCTCTTTGCTCGAACGACTATGTCTGCCTCTGCTACGATGGCGATCGGACGTGGTTTTCGTAGTGTTTGACAAATGAGAGGCGTTCTTCCAACGCGAGTCAGTCCGACTCACGCAAGACATCGACATCCCACTGTTCCTGTTCGTCAGCTTCTGGCTCAGATACGACGATTCCACGCTGTTGCCCGAGTACGCGCTGTAGTTCTGAGTCACGGAGGACGATCGATTGTCTAGCTTGGCTAAATGGTGATTCATCTTCGGCGAACGACACCTGGATCTGGCGAAGTGAAAGAGAGGAGGCTTCGGAGGCTCTGGCATGCCATTCGTGAACACAATTGGCACGATCACCACTCTCTCGTCTGTCTTAGTCGCTTCTGTGCTTAGTGGTGCACTGGTCTCCCTGTTCTTTGTCAATTCTTTCGATCTCGGTTTCTGCTTCTTCTTCAGATCTGAACTCGAGATCACCAGCGACGATCGGCTATCCACGCGATTGTAATTCACGTAGCGAGTCCTGCTGCTTCCGTCAGACCCAACCACTACCAGAGATGCTGAGATACTCCGATCTTGAGGTCTCGTGAAGCCGTCGATGGAATCCACCTTCCACAAACTCTCACCAATACCTGCGTACTGTTTCTCTGCAGAAGTATTGACACTCATGGCGCGTAACTCTGGTCTAGAGGTGGCAGTCGAGATATTTAAGGTCCTAGTCAACTTCCCAGATCCAGAGCCAACTCCTGCCTGCGACATTTTATCCAGTCCTTTGATCCTGACGATATTCCGGCTCTTGTGATCAGCTAGTTCACTAGTCTCGCTCTTCTCCACGAAACTACTGTTGTTGGGTCTGTCAAACTCCAGCTCGTTGTAGTACCTGGAAGCGTGTGCACCGTGACAATCGAAGCCTCTGTCTCTGTAGGGCCTGTAGCAAGAACTGCTGACAGATGGGATCAGGGACCCGGACAGATCTGGGTCCCCGAAATTAGCGTAAGAACTCTTCACGGACACGTAGGTATTGGCGTCTTCGAGCTGCCAATCGTTGGCCATCGTTGACACGCTCCTGTCAACCTGTTTCACCGAGTAACCTCGAGAATCGTTGTTCTCGTTTCTAACGACAGGACTCCGAGCTGGATAGAAAGATCCAGTCTCGAAGTAGTTTCTGTTGCTTTGAACCTGATACTGGTTCACCAGACGAGCCACCTCGTTCATGTTGGCGTCTCGACCGAAAGTCTTCGTTCTGTGCAGATAGTAGCCAGACACGTCAGTGAGCGGTGCATGCCGGGAGTAATGACCCTGATTGAGCAGCGTAGGGACATTGAGATTCAACGCCCGAAATTTCCCCCTAATTTCGTTTAGCTGGTGTTGAAGGGGTCCTAGCTCGCCGTCTATCTTCTGAATTGCGTCCGTGTCCTTTGTGATCCGCGGCTGTTGCCTCGAACGGTGCAGACAAGAGAGCTCTTTCTCCGGTATTGGGGGAAAGTAAAAGGACTTGATGGATGGGTGGGGATTCTCGGCGATTCCTATCAGGTCGTCGTTGTCTCGCACGTTCCTCGACTTCTCTAGAATTCTCTCCCTCGCGGAGCGTCCTGTTCTGTTCGAGGATTTGGTGCTTTCTCCTTCTTGGTCGAACTCTTTGGACGATGCGTCTTCTGGCAGGTCGAAGAACGTCACTTCCTTGGCGCAGCTTGGTCCATCGTTGCTGATACTCTGAGCAGGACAGAATTATTTGGGATCGGAGTAGACGGGAGAAAGATGTAGACTCGGTTTCTACCAGAAGGCCGAGTTAATGGAGTGGCAAACTAAATAGATTTAGGTCAATTAAGACTATTTCTCGTTGGCTACTTTTTCGTTTCAAGAGACCTCATCTGATGCGATCTATGTATATCGGGTGAGCCGAGATTTATTATAGAAATTAGATTGTCTAACGTAGTTGGAAATTAAGTTGACAGTGACATTTCGCTCCTTTTTCTGGGGACGAAATTTGAGTTGATTTTCTTAGAAACGAGGCTTCAAGTGAAAAAAATTACACGCTTCTTCGATTTGCTCCCTGGAATAACTATTACCAAAATTAGTGAAATTCGCGTATATTTGACAAAGTTTTCAGTTCATTTAGACTCACCTAATATATATATATATAATGAATTGACAGATCGATATTAGATGGGCGTGTTTGTACGCTAAAGTACCCTTTCTGATTCGATTTTATATATATTCGTCTTTGCCCTTAAAGAAAAGTTGGAATGGAATAGTGAAGTATAGTTAGAAAAAAAATAAAAATAAAAATAAAAACGAAGCCAATGACGTCTTTTATGAGACTAATATTTATAACAACGCGGAGGGGGAAGCGACGTAGGATGTTGAAAAAGTTAAAA